CACGACGTCCGCCGGTATGGGCATAGTCACGCAGCGGCAGGCGCTGTCATTCTGGGAGGACTCGCCGACGTCAAGCCCGGAGATGTCGTTCCGCAGCTCCGAAGCGCCGTCTTCATGTCGCCGGCGCGTGCGGTGTACAAGGCCAAGGGGAAGTGCAAGGCGCCAGCTCCTGCGGCCACCGGTCTGAGGTCCCCCGGCGTGAGCGTGCAGACGCCGGCCACGGGGCGCAAGACTAAGGATGTATTCGCCACTACTGGGAAGCAAGGGGCTACTTCGTCAAAGTACGATGACGAGATTACGTGGGACAGCGACAGCGACGGGTTTGGCGGGATGAGCCCGCCGAAGACGATACAGTTTGCGATGCCGCCGTCGAAGTTGCTGCAGACGCCAGGTATGTTCCATGGCGCCCTTTTAATAATGCTATGAACGCGGGAGTACTGATTTGGACTAGCACGCGAGGCAAGCAAACGCATTGTAGACAACATCCTGCTCACAGCAGGTGAGGATCTGGATGACCCGTCCGAGTACAGCCCGACCGTGGTCAAGATGAACCAGGATATTTTGGACGATACCTTCTAACGATGGGAACGCATGAGATGATTCGAGGTATATCATGAATAAATGCAAATAAACAATATTACCCCTTCCAACGGTACTGTTTTCTCCTTTGTCATATCCAAAATACCCCTTCTATTATCCCACAGCTCCCGCCATAAAGCCAGAGTCATTCCTTTATCCATCCCGGCCCCTTTCGCAGCAGCCGAACCCAGCCATCCAGCTCGTCAGCCACCGCCCATTATCTTCTCCCGGCGCGGCCCTCCCCCATATCGGGGCCGGCACCCCATCGCGAAGCCATACCCTCGAGAACCTTGCGCGCCCAGTCAGGCGCTACCTACCCCTCAAAGCAGGCAGTAGCGCGGCGCGGCGCGGCCCTTTTTTGCTTTATCCTCTCCCCGACCAGAACCTGACATAGCCGTCTAGCTATGCCGTGCCATGAAAGAGCGAGAGTGAGGTCCGTTGATGATCCGGGAGAGCTTAGACGTTCATGCGGATCTGGTTCCGCAGCACGTCGTCCTTGGCCTTTTGTTGCTGCTGCTGACTGCTGTTGCCGCGCCTTGTCGTCTTGCGCTTGGGGCGGAGCTTGTCTTTGAGCAGGCTCAGGCGGCTGGAGAGGGAGGAAGGTTGTTGCGACTGAGGCGGTGTCTGAGGTGTCGTGCTGGGTGGTTTTGGTGGTGGAGGAGGCTGGGTGATGGTTAGTGGTGGTGGTGTGTGGGAGGTGGGGGTTGGGGTTGGGGAGGGACGTACCTCTGGTGGGAAGACATTTTGCTTGGGGGGGTTGGTGTTGTTGTTTAAAGGGGTGGTGTTGTCAGGGGTGAAGTTGGGTCTGGGCAACGTTGTGAATGGTAGATTTGGGGCGTGAAGAGTATTGAATGCCTTGATTGTCTGGTTGTCTTGATGCTGATGAGGACGGAAGACCTGAGGCAGGCCACCTCATGGCTTATATACATGGTTTGTCTCCTTTTTGTTTCTCAGGTTTCTACGGTGAACGCGTCGCTTTGCTGTCCATTTCCGAGCCGGTGTGCAACACCGACCCACGCGCCATACCCGGCGTGTGAGGCTACGCATGTGTGCGTGTCCCACGCCAAGGGGAAAACTTGGTCTACCGAAGTGAGTCACGGAAGAGGCAGTACTCTGGAGCAGGGAGAAAAACGCCGGTAGGGCTCATAGGGAACTTCGAACTTGCGTTCTAGAACATGTAACCGTGGCTAGCAGGGGAATAGTGCTTGCGACGGAGGACGACACAGCCTACGTCAAGCGGCCCACTTAAGCTTGTTTGGACTGACGTCTTACTGTGTCGGGAGGTCGTTGAGCCGCGTGTGTAAGTGCGATGCATGGATGCTTGGAGTCCGATCTTGGCAGTGTGTCAGCGGCAGGCAGCTGTTGTGTTTGGTTGGGCACGATGTTGATTGAGGGTGGTGGTACGAAGCACATGTAGCTAGGGTTTGTCACAACATCGAAAAGGTATTCCGCAGCCTCGCTCACTCTGCTCACTGCCCTGTCGTGTCCTGCCGTATCGTATCCCGACCGTTTTGGCTTCGATGGACAGCGAGTGTATGTGAATTCGGCGGTGACTCGAGGGGTGCATTGGAGATTGTGACTCGTCATCGCAAAGGTAAATTAGCTAGCCAGCGACCCCATCATTGCTGACCATCAGGTTGTTTTCTTTCCAAGTTAGCTCGACCGGATTTGTCTAAGCGTGCGACCATCGACGAATCTTCGCCGAAACCCACGTGAAATTAGATAAATACCTTACTTAGTTGGTGCCTGAGTGTCTGGCCGCGTGCGGCCTGAGTCACCAGCTCCTTCTCGCGGCCAACCTCCGTAACTCGTTATGGATACACCATTCCCTTTTTGCAAATAACTATCCAACCTCGGGTTACTTTCCGCAGGGTTTTGTCTGGCTGTGTTCGAGGCATCGAATCAACCGCTGCATGTCTGAGGCCGCGCACCCGCCGCGCAACCTGACTGTCAAAAACCCAAGCAGGACCTACAGCCCCACCACCCCGCTCGCCTGGGATCGGTCTTTCGCGCCATGGAGATGGCAAGCTCACTACCTTTGTTATCGCTCGGGAATTGGCGTTGACTTGGCGACGACATGGTCTGAGAAGAAATGTCCACTGCTGCGAAGAACAGAGCTAGGTAACTGACCAGTTCCCTGTGCTGAAAACTACCAAGTGAAACTGTGGTACATGTTGTTTGGCTGGAGGGCATGTGCGACGGGCAGAACAACAATCATACCGGCCTATACTAGACTCATGCCTGCAGTGATTTCTACTCGCAAACGAACACCCATTCTTGTGAGAAGCGTTTTATGAGAGGTTCTATGTACTGACCACAAATACCATCAGTCATAGCCTTACACAGTGCGCTCAGTCTCGGTACTTTGTGAGTGCTATGGCGCTTTGACATTTGATTGCGAATAACAGGAAGTTCCATTTGAGACGCGGGGTCGATGTTCAACATCAACAAACACATAGTTTTGCGCGCCGAGATGGCTACGAACCTAAAAGCGTCGCCTACGTCTCTCATTTTCTCTGAGGAGGAGACGGAGCCCTAAAATGACTCGGTATCCCTTCCTGAATTACACATGCTTGTGTCGCATTAACTAACAATAACAGATTTCTCTCGGCAGCCCCTCGGCGGACGAGCTGATCGAGTCAATTCCCGCCCAAGTCGCGGGACATTCACCGGGCCTCCCTCTCCGCATCGATTTTTGCTGGCCCGAAGATGAGGTCGAAATCTTGGATGAAAGATTAGCCCAGGTCTCCGACATCTCGAACCACATGTCACGATTCCAATACGATTACAATTCCAAGACGGTTTCTCTCACAATGGGCAAATCCCAGGGTCATGCCTACCTCGCCGGAAACTTTTGCGTTCTAATTCAAGAAAAGCTCCGAAATTTCACCTTGACTTCTGGCTGGGAAAGAGTGCCCGAGGAATTGGCCGTCCGGGTCAGGCGGGTCAGGCCATTCTTCACAGCCAGTGTGCAGGTCAAGGGTAAGTTATGGTATCAACCGGGCGGCTCCTTTGGCCTTCTGCAACCTCCCCGCGCCAAAACCACAGCGGTTTTTGAGGTTTCGTAGGACGAATCTCGACAACGCACGGAAAAAAGGGCACAGAGCTATATTTCAGCAACTGGTGGGGAAATTAAGTTGGTCATGACTTTGGATGCCAAATTCGAAGGATTGGGCAAGGCGAGGGTCAGCGTTTTAGCAGCCGACAACAATGACGGCAATGGCGACAGTAGCGCCGATGGCTTTTATTGGGGAAAGCGTGGAGAGGTCTTCCACAGCGAATTTAACCCGCTCTTTCACAGGCCTCCTCAATTTAGCATCTCGTATCGAGAGTTGGGGGCTCTATTCCGTATCGCACGGCATCTCGCCAGGCCCGATCAATTCGATGTGAGAGAAGAAGATGAAGATATTGTGGACGAGACGTTCCAGCAGCATGACCTCAAACTTCAGCGGCAGCTCCGAGAAGCCGAAGAGCGTTCTGCCCAGGCGGTGCTGGGGGCCGAAGAGCGCATTGCGCGGGAGCGTCATCGGCGCCTGGAAGCCGAAGAGCGTTTTGCTCGGCTTCTAGCTGCGCTCGCTCCTCAGAATCAGCCGGACTCTGAGATGATTTAGGGCCTGTACAACAGCATCCCTTGAGAGCCGGAAAACTGTAAGGTGTTCTTGTAGCAGTATAATCAATCGACCCCACTCCCAAAGTCTCCCTGAGTTTAATTATGGTACTATTGTTAGACCCCGCATCATGACCTTGCCGAAGTGCTCTATCTCATCCGTTGATACCAACAGTTCCTTCAGCGATTCGGCTCTCCCCGAAGAGTGAAGTGTGTTCCGTCATAACAGCTGCGACGCCAGCTTGTGATACTAGCAGACGTGCCCTGTGGTGTGCTGGGTTTCCTTCGTCGGCTTCGTGATTTTTTTCCCTCATGTGCCCATCGTTTAACTCGTGTACTACACCATACACCACGACACGGTCGGCTTTCATGTGACTATGGGACTCGAATCCGGCCTGCTGTGTAGGCTCCCGACTTGAAGAAACAAATGGGCGGTTCGGTATCGGGGGGATGAAGACAGCCCGGGTTTTGATGTGATTCGCTTGATTCGCAGCCAATTGCTCAAAGAGCGCTAGTCCGTATCCTGCCTAGTCTCCGCAGACGCCAGGATCTGAGCTCCTTGTTTGCAGTCAAGGAGGTGGGTCGAGATCGCTTTGTCGGGCTTGCTTGCTTTCTCATCAACTTCGCCGAATTCATCCAGCCCACATTGAGTGAGTGTGAACCAACTACACAGCATGGACGAACATGGAGATCTACAAGAGATCCAGCCTCAAGGCCAAAGGAAGTTCTTCATCCAAATGTCGGGCGCGCCAGGCTCCGGGAAGAGCACCCTGGCGAATCAACTGCGACAACCTCTCGGAGCGGTGGTAATCGATCACGACATCGTCAAATCAACGCTCCTTGCCGACGACAATGTTTCGTTCAACCAGGCTGCGAAACTGGCTTACAACTTGGGCTGGGCGCTTGCCGGGTCCATGATGAGGCAAGAATTTAGTGTTATCATGGACAGCGTCTGCAATTACGAGGAGACGCTGGCCCAGGGACTCAAGCTAGCTAGGCTCTATGGGTTTGAGTATTGGTACATCGAGTGCCAGGCCGGTGATATGGATCTGCTCGACGAGCGGCTGCGCAAGAGGACACCGTTGAGAAGCCAGCGGACAAGTGTCGACCGCCCACCAGTGGATGCCGTTGCTTCTCAAGCTGAAGGTGAAGAAGACTCCCGTGCTTTGTTTAGGAGGTTTATCGATAATCCATGCCGGCTGGGAGAAGATGAGAGGGTGGGCATTGTTGTCGTGGACTCCACTGAAAGTTCTGAGGAACGGCGAGATTACATCCTGGAGCGAATGTCTCTTGACACTGACCAAAGGCAGCACACCGCAATGCCAGGATCGAAGGACGAGAGATGTCATTGACGGACAGACCCCGACACCCAACAAACGAAATTGCCTGCTCAAGCCGCCACAGCGCATTGTTTGCAGCCATTCGCCGTCCCCAAAACTTTCGAATCCCAGCAGCACTGGCAGAATCAAACATTTGGCCTTACCTAGTCGGGTAGGCGGAGGACCTTGCAGCCCCTGAGGAGCCCTGCCAAGTTGGCGCTCGCGATGATCAGAGTGCGGGACGAACCATTTCCAGATCTCATCCGCCGTTCGGATGTCGGCTTGTGGGAAAGGAGAAGGGAAACAGCACAGGCAATGAATGCAATGTGGTAGTTATGTCTTTGATAGAAAACCCTAACCGCCCTCGTGAGAAGGCGACATACCAAAAGAAGGGATGAATCTGCGTTGCGAATGGTCAGCGAGCTCTTCCGTTGATTCTGCTTGAATACCCGGATGTCGGGGCTTGGGACTCGTTTTCGGATTGTGCTGCGTGTGAGTGGTCAAGAAATGGGAGCCCCGCTCTGTTGCTTCGGGTTCAACACCACCTTGATTTGATTGGCGAATCGCTTTCACAACAGTACTGATAAACTTATCATTTAACGGAGATTTGAGTTCACTACCTGGACGATACTCTACAAAAACGGTAGCGAAAGTCAGGTCGTGAAAATCACATGATTTTGGCAGTTGATATAGATGCTGAGTATTTGATTCTCGGCCCCCGTGGTTGGGGGTGCTGAGATCAAACGAAGCTTTTTGGATAAGCTCAACTGTATTCTATACATTGAGACCACATCCCATCTCATTGAATTTCTGCAGGGAAGATTTGAGGCCCCACATACTGCAGTACCTGAACAGGGGTCGGACCTTCAAATCTCTCCAATCCCTATGAAGCATGGCCCTGTCCTGTCCCGCGGTCAACATCTTCACTTTTCCCGCGCGGGTCCCCGGGTCAACTTTGCAGCCCGTCCTTTTTCTTTTCCTCCTCCCTTCCGGTTGCTGTCTGCGCGCTCCAATACCTCAGCTTCACTTACGACCAACTGCGCTCGTTCCTTGAAGCTCTGGCAACGGTCTCGCTTTGCACACAACGACAGCAACAGCGACGGCGACGGTGACGGCGACGGCACGCGCAATGGCTGCCAACGCGACAACCTCGCCTTTGGCGACTATCAAATATGGCGCCGCCAGCGTGGCGCCCCAACTCGAATATGTCATCGACTATGTCTCCAACGCCAGCACGTTGAGCATTCTCGCGACAATCCTCGCAACCCTCGTCGTCTACGACCAATGTATGCTTGTGCCCAGCTCAACTGGAATCGGCTCGACGGCCTGAGCTAACACCATGTCTCCCTAGTCCGCTACATCTTGAACAAGGGATCAATCGCGGGCCCAGCGTGGAAGATGCCCTTCATTGGGCCCTTCCTCCAGTCCATGAACCCTAAGTTTGAGGAATACTACGCAAAATGGTTGAGTGGTCCCCTCAGCTGCGTCTCCGTCTTCCACAAGTATGCCGACCTATCCCAGATCGAACACTCGCACCATTGGTACTAACACCCCCTGACTAGGTTCGTCGTTATCGCCTCCACCCGTGATATGGCCCGTAAAGTTTTCAACTCGCCCGCCTTCGTCAAGCCCTGCGTCGTCGACGTCGCCCACAAGCTGCTCGGCGCGGACAACTGGGTGTTCCTCGATGGCAAGGCGCACGTTGAGTTCCGCAAGGGCCTCAACGGCCTCTTCACGCGCCGCGCCCTCGAAATCTACCTGCCCGGCCAGGAGGAGGTGTACAACCGGTACTTCAAGGAGTTCGTCGCGACCACCAAGCAAGCCGGCGGTGAGCCCGTCCCCTTCATGACGCACTTCCGCGAGGTCATCACAGCCGTCTCCTGCCGCACCTTCGTTGGCCACTACATCACGGACGAGGCCGTTAAGAAGATTGCCGACGACTACTACCTCATCACGGCCGCTCTCGAGCTCGTCAACTTCCCCATCATTCTCCCCTACACCAAGACCTGGTACGGAAAGAAGGCGGCCGATATGGTGCTGGCCGAGTTCGCTAAGTGCGCTGCGAAGAGCAAGGCCCGGATGGCTGCTGGCGGCGAGCCCAACTGCATCATGGACGCTTGGATTATTCAGATGATCCAGTCTCAAAGGTGGCGTGACGCGCAGGCTAAGGGCGACACTGAGGGCGTCGAGAAGCCGACACACATCCTCCGCGACTTCACCGATTATGAGATCTCCCAGACCGTCTTCACCTTCCTCTTCGCCTCGCAGGACGCCACAAGCAGCGCCGCCACTTGGCTTTTCCAGATCATGGCGCAGCGTCCGGATGTGCTCGATCGCGTTCGTGAAGAGAACTTGAACGTCCGCAACGGAGATATTAACGCGGCTGTCAACATGGACCAGCTCGAGTCTATGACATATACCCGCGCTGTCGTTCGTGAGCTGCTGCGTTACCGCCCCCCCGTTCTTATGGTTCCCTACGTCGTCAAGAAGCCCTTCCCCATCACCGAGACGTACACCGCTCCCAAGGGTAAGCGAGGCCCCCGTCATCTGTAGGGAAAGGCACCGATGCTAACATGACTTTTAGGCTCCATGGTTATCCCCACCACATACATGGCCCTGCGCGACCCCGAGGTCTACGACAGGCCCGATGAGTTCGACCCCGAGCGGTACTACACCGGTGACGCCGAGGTCAAGGGCATGAAGAACTACCTCGTTTTCGGCACCGGTCCCCACTACTGCCTCGGGCAGCAGTACGCTCAGCTTAACCTTGCCCTCATGGTCGGAAAGGCGTCGCTCCTGCTCGACTGGAAGCACCACGCGACGCCCAAGTCTGAGGAGATCAAGGTGTTCGCCACCATTTTCCCTATGGTCAGTCCCCCCAGGAGCGTTTTTTTCGATTGAGGCCGAGATGCTGACTGCAGTAGGATGATTGCCCCTTGACGTTTGAGGATAGGAAGTGGTAATGGCTGGGATGTGACGGGTATTAGAAAAGCATGCGCTCGCGTTGCGCTGCGGTTTAGAAGTTCAGTAATTGGGATGGTGTCAGTCATTGATGGGGCTGCAAGAGTTCCCCAGCGGTTTGCCACTGCATCGACGAAGGGTAATGACATGGCTGGTTTGGATGTGTTATGGTCCACCAGCTAGAGGGGGGAGGGTGGTTGGGAATGGCCACGGTCGGCCAACGACCTATTACCATTGTAATCTTTAGTCTGTACATACCTAGACCCGTATGGTCCGTAATGAAACTATGATGAGAAAGCTAGCTGGAATGAAAGCAAAGGATAGATTGAAGTGTGTGAGCTGAGAAAGATGGTTAGGTTTGTCGAGCCACAGGCCTGCGGTTATACTGACAACAACCTAGGTACTTTTAAAGACGGCGGCCGCTGCTGATATGCCGGGCACATGGAAGCCCCGGCGGACATTTCTGTGGGGCGGGCGACCTCCGACTCCCGGCTCCGTCGATTGCAGCTTGCTCGGTTCTGGAGCAGCTTAGCCGAGCTTCGAGAACTTCCTTCTGTCTTCCATTCCCTCAATTAATACTGGCGCACACCAATAGTGATCGGGCAAAAATCAACCATGGCATCCAGACGCGCAGTTGTAAGCCTCGTGAGGACCTCCGTCCCTTCAGCAAGGACAGCGGCGCCCGCGCACCTCCGAGCCCCGGTGCACCTTGCATCACGACAATACCACAGCTACACCCCGTGCCAGCCGCTCCCTGTTGCGCGATCCTCGCCATCGGCATGGCGCAACGAACCTGCCAGCAGGTTAGCGATCACAAGGGCCTATTCCACCGACTCTGGGGCTCCGCCGTCCAAGATCTGGGACTTTGAAGCTGTATGTCTACCTCTCCAGCGTCACCAGAGCTTCCACTCCACCCTTATTACATCCAAGGAAGCAAGCAACTATTCCAACAGCCAGCTAACATGCCCTCCCCGGCCCAGCTCGAGAAACTGACCACCGCCCCCCCACCCCTCCATCACCATAATCGGTACCGCCCCCTTCCCCCGCCCCCTCCCACCACCACCCCCACCACCCAGTTCACTTTCCACTAACCTGCCCCCCCCTCCCCCCCTCCCACCCAAAACAGACGTCCGCGAACCGCACGAATTGACCGAGTCCGGGCGCATCCCCGGTGCCATCAACATCCCCGTGTCGACGGCGGCCGACAGCTTCCACATCTCGGAGGAGGAGTTTGAGGACCGGTTCGGGCACCCGCGCCCGGCGCGCGACGCCGAGGTCGTCTTCTACTGCCGCGCCGGCGTGCGCAGCCGGGCCGCGGCCGGCCTGGCGCGCGACGCGGGCTGGGAGAAGGTCGGGGAGTATCCTGGGAGTTGGCTGGAGTGGGCGGGGAGGGGAGGAAAGGTGGAGAGGTAGAGGATATGGCTGTTTTTGAGGGTGTTGGGAGGGTTGGGAGAGTGTGGAAAGGAGGGGTATCCATGTGCTGTATGTAGGATACGTGCGAGGGTTGGTTGAATGTACATTACATTGAAGAATGCCTGCCTGCCCTTAAACGCCTGATGCCTCCTGCTAAAGGCAATCGCATGCTACCACACCAAACGTACACGGACTATATCCACTTGGTCTGCCCATCCGTCCCAATCTAGAACATCATCCTCTCCGGCGCCGGATCTGTCTTCTCGCCGCCGTCCTTCAGCGCCGGGCTGCCGTGCGCAAAGAAAAGCACCTTGATAGCAATTGCCAGCCCAAAGTGCAGCGCCACCACTAGAATCAGCAGCACCTTGCTGGTCTGGCGGTCGGTTGCGCTCAGCACGGGGTACAGGTTCCGGAGCAAGAATGCCACCGACACGCCGAACCCAACGCCGACAAACACCCAGTTCAGAATCGCAATTGGTGACCAGCTGATCAGCGCCACGGGAATCCAGGTCAGGTTCCCGTACCCGTACAGCGCCCAGCACTCGAGCAGGTTGGCGCTCTCGGACCCAAAGTACCGCAGCGCGAGGTACAGCACGACGGGGATGACGAACGTGTAGCCGTATATCAGCCCAGCGGCGCCTAAAAACCACAATCATCAGCCTCCCATCCCATCCCAGAATCACCGCAAGAAAAAAAAATGGATACGGGTCAAATCAAAAAAAAAGCTCACCACTCAACAACCCAAAGTCATACGCAAACTCGCCCCTCCCCTCCCTCGCCGAGTAATCACTGATAGTCCCCCCCAAAAACAAGATCAACACCACAGTCGTAGCGATCCAGAACGGCCCGTACAGGTCCGGATTCCCATCCAAGACATCCAAGAAATTGGCGCGCGGGTAGAGGGCGGCCCAGCAGCGGTGCAGCACGGACGAGGTGTCGACGTCGAAGAACTGCGCGTAGAAGGACATGGTCCACAGCATGCGCTTGCCGCCGCCGCCGGGCTGCGAGGATGATGATGATGTGTTGGCCGTCGCGGGCAGCGGGAGGGAGGGGGACTTGTGGCCGCCGATGCCGCCGCCGCCGCGCGCCGGGTTGGTCTCGGAGAAGTTGGAGTTGTGGAATTCGAGGTCTTCTTGGAGGTCGGTGTGGCCTAGGTCGCCCTGTTGGTTGTGGTGGGTTCAGTTGCTGTGTCTTGGGGGTGGTGATGATGGAGGGGCGCTGGGGGGATGTGGAATTGGAAGGGGGGGAGGGACTAACCTCATCGTCGACGTCGACGACGGCATCGTAGCCGGATCTTGACATCTTGTCGTCGCTATTCGAATACACGGCGGGGTAGTTGGACGTGGGTCAAGGCGACATGAGTTGTGGTCGAGGTGTTGAGCTGGTCGTCAAGGTGTCCTGACCCTGAAGCTGCACTGAGCTTATGCCAGCTGTTGCGTGGTCTGGATGGATGTTGGACCCACTTGAAATCCTGCAGGCGATATGGACACCCTCTAAGACAGGGCCTACGGTCACGTGATCTTTTTGATGGCTAATCTGGAATGCAATCATTTATCATGCCCGTCACTCGGAAATGATTTACATCGCGATCAGCCATTCGTGAACAGTCATGCAGATGAATTTAGATGGTCAAGAGTCTTGAGCTATGGTCATCCGGAATGTACAGCCAGAATGTGCCGTGTACCCCCTGCCAACCCTTGCAGAACCATGCAATGCCGAGAAAACCAAAGACGCCAGACGACCGTGACCGAAGAGAGTAACCGTTTATTTGAGCTTCTTCTTGGGGCGGAGCTGGTTAGTGTGACCGCACTTGCGCTTGCGGCAGTTGGTCGCACGAGGCGGGAGACGAGCCTGGATCGTGTTAGCTACCGGAGCCGCCGCATAGCGAGGGTGCGTTTCCTTACGTAACACTTGCGGCAGATCATCTTCTCGCAGTTGAACTTGGAGGCAAGGGCCTTGAGCGAGGGCTCAATGATACCACCACGGAGGCGGAGGACAAGGTGGAGAGTCGACTCCTGTGGCCGGGTGTCAGCTCAGTCCAATCTGAAAACGCCGCTTCCCAGCATCGATTCGATTTCAGCGCCGCGGGGTCGGTAGCATCTCCCTCCAAAACCATGATAATTCCTCCTCTTGAACACGCTTCCTCCCCAGTTCCGCCCCGTTTCCCACGGCTCTCAAATCGAATTTCGTAGTGCGTATGAACTGACCTTCTGGATGTTGTAGTCGGACAAAGTCCGACCATCCTCAAGCTGCTTGCCGGCAAAGATCAGGCGCTGTTGGTCGGGGGGAATGCCCTCCTTGTCCTGGATCTTCGACTTGACATTGTCGATGGTGTCCGAGGACTCGACCTCGAGGGTGATGGTCTTACCCGTGAGGGTCTTCACGAAGATCTGCACTGTTGGTGAAAATACGTATCAGCATCTCGTCAGCATCGTTGTGCGATAGTGTGGGCGTGGCTTACTCTTGACCGATTTCCGTGGACTTGCTGGTGAGGATGACGGGAAAGTTCCAAGATGCCGTAAATTTTGGTGGGGGTAAGAATCGAGGTGCGACTGGGGGACTAGGGTTTGTGGCCGGAATTTCAAGGCAGGAAAACTCAGTGTGTTTTGTCATGTGGCGCGCACTGTGATTAAGTCCCAACCCGAACCCTGGTAACAACACCATCACTCACAATATCCAAGACGGCTCGACTCACTACTATAAGTGGTTGGTTGCGCTTAAACGTCTTAGTTTATTCTTTGGGTATCTCATTATTTTCAGATTGCGCTGTTATGGCAGGTGATACAATCCTGCATCATGCCCAACCACAACTATCTCCCATCGTTTTCCGTCTTCCACTTCCTCTCCCCCCCGAGTCGGCGTTTCTCCTCCTTCTGCCAGGCCAAGAGCATTTGCTCAAGACCGTAAACTGCCCGAAGGAGATCACGCAGAGATAGCCCAGAAACTTCGGCCGCCACCTCATAGAGCCGTTTCGTTACCCCTTTGAGCTCATCGATATCCTTGTAGCAGCGGTAATCGAAGCCTAATCGTTTGGTGCCTGAGTCCATCCCTTGCGGATCCGATGTTGGGTTGACCCTCTTCATAGAGCTAAGCACTCTTTTGACCCTTTCCTCGATTTCCTCCTGGGGCAACTCGGGAATGACCGGCAACGGTGGGATGTCCTGGAGCGGGAAGAGACGGTCGACTTCCGTTTCGTCTGCGAACAGTTAGCCATGACATACGAAATCCCATCAGCCAGACTCACCAGCCAGAGGCCTTTCGATGATCTGGGTTTCTTGAAACCAATTTAACAGCTCATCCATATCATCCTTGTCCATCGACCAGATTTCTTGTGGATCCATATGCTCATACTGCAATATCCCAGGTTTCTTTTCCGGCTTCTTCGCGAACTCTGATTCCCAGACAGTCCAGTCCATTTGGAGGCAGAGTGAGTCGCTAAAGTCGCGTGGAATCCGCTCGATGCCATCGAGGGGGTATTGGTGTTTCGTTGCCACGATGAGAGACGCCACTAATAAAACCTCTGGGAGGTCAAGTAGCCGGTATCGTTTGGGCGTTGGGCGTCTCGTTGGGAAAGCGAGGCTCATGTCTAGAAGACGACAAACCTTTTGGGCAAAAGGATGAACCTCAGCTACATTCAGAAGTCAGTATCGCCCGGTTTGGTGGTTTGGAGACGAATAAACGCACGAGGGAGGGCCAAGTCCCTGATGTACAGAAATAACAAAGGCGGCGCTGGTATCGCGGGAAACTCTAGCCCGTGATTCTCCTTGTACCCTAGCATCAAGTCCATGATTGCCTGGTGGAGCTCGCCGCCATGGAACTTGGCATACCTCGTCAGAAGCGAGTGATGGGCCCAGCCCGGCAACCGGTCCCGCCACTCCTTGGGCACGTAGTCGATCTACCACCAAAGTCAGCAATAGCGCAATAAGCCAACCCTCACATCGGATACATACCGCGCTCAGAAACGGCATCTGTCCGTTTCTTGCCCACCGAAACACATCCCCGATCCTCACCGGTTCCTGCCGTAACACACATCCCAGGTACACCAACGCGAGGGTATCCATCGCCCCAGGAAGCGCCCAAACCTCCCCAGCCCAGCTCTTCCTCTTCCTCGTCCACCCCAACCCCTCACCCCCCTCCCCCTCCCCCGGCCCATCCTCCCCTCCCTGCGTTCCCCCCTCCTGCGAACTAAACATCACCAACCCCGCCTCATCGCGGACTCCCTCCCTCCCATCCCCACCCTCCACCTTCCCACCAACCGCATCGCCCCCTCTCCCATCACGATCACGATCCCTCTGAATACCCGGAAACGCCCTGACCCTCAGGCGCCAGAGATCGCGCACGACCGCCCTCGAGGTCCGGGATGAAAGCCCTTGCGGCGCACGAGCCAGAGCACCTGCTTGCGCAGCAGCAGCTGCAGGCACTCGAGGAAGAGCTCGCGGGCGGCGTTGCCCGTGAGGTGCTTGCGGTCGGCACGGCGGGACTCCTTCTTCTTGCGCGCGACGCGGCCCGTCTTGCCGAAGTTGTCGTCCTCGTCGATGTCGAATTGCACGTAGCCCTGTGCGTGTGTGGTTAGGGTGTGTGGTTTTGGAGAAAGGGTTGAGGGGGTCGGTTAAGACATAAAGGGATGGGGTAGGGGCAGGGTTCCCAGGTGTGGTTAACTAACCTCGACTTGATGACCATTCTCGCAGTATCGCCGTCCATTCTCGAGATACCACCGCCTAGCGGGGCATTCAGAACAGGTCTCGCCGCGCGGGAAACGATGATGGCGGCGCGGGGCCATGAGGTGCGGGATTGTCGAGTCTCGCTTTCACGGTAGCTGTTTGTTGGAGGGGCATGGAAAATGATTTGCTAGGGCGCTTGAGCGTTTCGGCAGCACTCATGATTTGATAACACTTCTAACTAAATAACATGTGCCCTTTTCATGCAGACGTCAACACACCCCGGTTGTGTTTTAAACTTTGATGGTCCATAGGATACAATTTATAGTTATGACTAACTGAGCGGAAGATGCAAATTTGCGTTCTTTGCCACAGCTCTTTGCAACATCATTTAGTAGTCGACAAGCACTAAAGTCTACTCGGAACATGGCCTAGCGGTAGTGTATAGCAACGAATCGGGGGGCGTTTGATTTTATTTAGACGGCGTCCCTGCAACTGCTAGTCTACATCCGGGAACCGCCAAAATGGCCTCGGCACGGAAAGGCGATGCGCGCAAGCAAGTAGACGTTAGTTCCATACCATGCAGTGGCGTCAAGACTCCCGTCTTGGGCCGTGCACGAGGTGCTGAAGTAAACTTCTAGGCAGCCGGCGAACATGATGATTCCCCAAAACATCAACCGATATGTCTGAGTCGGCCAAAGAAAACCTAGCGAGAACAAACATCATATTGCTACCGCCGTGGGGGAACCGATTCACTCCATTCCCCGACCCCCAGCTCCTTCTTCCCTCTCCCCCCATTTAGGGTCCAGGCCCTTTAGCTTTTAGCACTGTCCTCCTTCCAGGAAATAGCGGCCTCCTCTCCCATGGAAGCTACGATGGTAATGACTGGTGTAGCGGTGTTAGCTTGTTTGTTCCTTAGTGTTTGGTCCGAGCCAAGACCTACGGAGATCCTTCCCGGCTTCGAAACCTTCCTCGATTTGTTTACCCAACTCGCCCTCGGGGACCTTGACATCATCCTTGGGGTTGGCATCCGAGTCCATCAGGTTAAGGAAACCGTCATCGATGTTGACCTTAGAATCTTGTCAGCGCCCACGTCCTCAAAAAAACATAGGCCTATCACGATGCGTGCTTACCAGGGTATACTCGGTGCGTTTGACGTTCGGAACATCCATGTTGTGGGTCGAAGGCGAGAGATCCTCGAGCTTCTTGCCGGTGAAGATATCGATCGCGACAAGGTGGACCTTGGCGTGACCGTGCTTGCCAGTCTTGGATGTAGACATGTCGACGATCTTGCAAGGGCGGCCCTTGATCACGACGTGGCCGTTCTTCCGCAGGGCAGAGCACTGCATGGGGTAGGTGAGGGAGGCACCGGATTCACCGGCGGCATCCTGCTCGAACGCATGTTCCTATACATCCTCAATTAGCGCCAGCCTAGTCATTGGATTTCCATGGGGCCGAGGATGTATCGTGGTGGTTTGTAGAAACATCGTGACAAATGCGATGCCTGATTTACGCTGTCCTGGCGGGCACCGCGGGGTTCTCATGCCAGGCAGGTGCGGGGTGATTTTCTTTCGTTGCCCAAGCGAGCGACAATATGCAAGCGAGGAAACGTAACTCACCTCTTCCGACATATTGGAAAAAATTCGGAAGGATATTGGTCCTGTCGGAAGGGAGGGGGGGAACACAAAAGTCTGATGCCTAAGAAGGTGTCAAATGGTCTAAGGGAGGAGAGAGTGGAAAGCGCAAGGTTGACCGGAGAGGGGATGGCGGGAGGAAATTTGTGGTTTTGAATGACAGCCGAAGCGAAAAAAAGGGCAACGTTTCCCCGCCATGAGCATGGCCTTGTTAGGTTAATTCGAATTTGGGGTGGGTCTTTTGCTTGGTGGGCTTGGTGGGCTTGTTGCAGAACCCCGCCAGAACCTTTTTTGTGTCATCTGGCCAATCAGAATGGCCTTATCAAAACTGGTTCATTTTCGAGGATTTGTACCCCCACAACATGCAATCGCAGTATATCAGCTTTTTTGTTTCCTCGTTTTTCCTGTCCGAATACTGACATCTGTTTGTAAACAACAATTCGCGAGTACGGCACATACACTCGGATTCTCGCAAACCTCTGTCATTGTGCTTAGGTGGCCTGCTGAGGTCTGATAAGGAGGTACTCGTGGTCACACGAGCATAGGTATCTGGAAGGCATTATGCCGACCCGTATGCATGGCAAATGGCCTGCTGTGTAGCTCAAGTTAAGGTACATAGGGAGTTAGTTGGCTGCATAGTAGTTGTTTGCTTTGGCAATCCTCCATTGTGTAAAGAGTACCAACCTGCCTGGCACTAATTAGAACGCTGAGATGTCTCACTTCCAGATATTGGTCTTGGGGCTTTCCTATTTGTCCAGGACGCCGGACAGATCCTCAGTGCGCTTCATCTTGGTGCTGTCGAGATATCAATGGCTTCACATACAAAGTGTATTCACATACAAAGTGTGGAAAGAGTTATCCAAACCTGCTGTTATGTCACCGCCCTCGAGGAAATGGCACCGGTTGAGAATTATTGTGAATGGGCAAATCTGCGAAGGTCTCGACCGGCCACACGGGCCTGAGGCGAGCTGGCGCCAAACGCCTTGGAAAAGGGGCTGAGAGGGCTGTGGCGAACATTGGAGGAGATTCGGTTTGACCAATAGAAGTTGGTTATTTTTCTGGGCTGTCGCAGCTTTCCCGGCCCCACAGCGGAGCAGCCAAGGTACCTCGTTGGCATGCATGTGTGTTCGGGAGCTTCTCGGAGACCAGCTCTGAAAGAACAACAAACAACAACATCGGCTAACAAACTCTCTGAGTTTAGTCCACGAACGAGAGCAAGCGTGACTTGGAGGCTACAACGGAAATTGCGCTAAAGTGGTGATGCATCATGTGGCTTGATCGGTTTGCTGGGCCGCACCCCGGAAACACACCATCGCCGCCCAACAGCCAGGGCCGCACCCAGTCGCCGCTACCTCGGCGAACATCGAGTGCGCGGGGCCCGTATCTCACGTCGCAACGACCGGGCCTGTCCCCAAGGGGCTCTTCGTTGTCGCTGGCCTCAAACGATTCCTCGTCTTCGCTGCTCGGCGCGTCAAAGCGAAGCAATGGCTCGGCATTGAAACAGTCGACAACGGCGGACAACGCACCCGACCCAGAGACGATCCTCGCTAGCATTCTCGGTCCCCTCCCCGATAATATTGCGCCGCTGGAAGAAGACAGGGCAGGGCGGATTGCAGAGGATGATTTGGAGTTGGATTTTGATTTTGGTGGCCTCTCCCTCCGCGAGCTCGCCGAGGGCGGTGGCGGTCGGGTGGTGGCCGACACCGACAGACCGCAGACTGTAGAAGACTGTAGGTCGCCCCGAGCCAATGCGGCCCTCTCTTCCTGTACTCATAGATTCGACATAGTCGAGCGAGACAAGGCCAAGTTTGAAGACCTCCATCGATCCATTCGAGCATGTGACGACATCCTGAGCTCTGTCGAGTCCAATCTCACCAGTTTCCGCAACGACCTGGCTGCTGTGTCCGCCGATATTGAGAGTTTACAGGCCCGGTCAACAGCGTTGAATGTCAGGTTGGAAAATAGGAAGGCTGTGGAGAAGGCGCTGGCCCCCGTGGTGGAAGAACTGAGCGTGTCACCCACGTTCGTGTCCAAGATATCAGAAGGCCACATCGACGAGGCATGGGTCAAAACCTTGGCCGATCTGGATAAGAGAGCAGTGGCCCAGAAGAAAACCCCCCAGCAGACACCAAGTAAGGCTTTAGCTGATGTAGGGCCGCTACTGGAGAAGCTGGTTCTCAAGGTACCGTTGCTCATGCATTCTCTCGGGCTGTCATCAATATGCTAATCTGGCCAGGCCGTCGAACGGATACGGGATTTCCTTGTCACCCAGATCAAAGCTTTGAGATCACCCAATATTAATGCTCAGATAATTCAACAACAAAACTTCCTCAAGTTCAAGGACCTGTTTACCTTTCTCCATCGGCACCAGCCCGTGCTTGCAGGGGAAATTTGCCAGGCCTACCTCAACACCATGCGCTGGTACTACCTGAACCAGTTCACACGCTACCAGAAAGCGCTGGAGAAGCTCAAGCTCCACATCCTCGACAAAAATGATGTGCTTGGCCATGAGGATACGTCAAGAAGGACCACTGTCCTCTCAGGGTCCAAGATCGCCGGCGCACCCCACGACGCGTTCAATCTGGGCAGGAGGATAGACGTCCTGAAAACCACCAACCAGCTCGCCATATCCTCCTATCTCGCAGAAGAGGACCAATCAACCCACTATCTCGAAGTCCCCTTCCGCCACTTCAACATCGCCCTCATCGACAACGCCACGGCCGAGTACACCTTCCTCGCGGCATTCTTCAGCCCGTCCCTCTCCTTCGCCGCCATCTCGCGGCACTTCAACTACATCTTTGACCCGGCCTTCGCCCTGGGCCAAGCCGTTACCCGGCAACTCGTCGCCGAGACGTACGACGGGCTCGGCGTGCTGCTGTGCGTGCGCCTCAACCAGCGCTCGGCCTTCGAGCTGCAGCGCCGCCGCGTGCCCGCCGCCGACGGCTACATCAACGGCACCTCCATGACCCTGTGGCCCCGCCTGCAGGGCATCATGGACGCCCACTGCGAGTCGGTCCGGGCGCTGACGGCGGCTCTGCCTACGCGCGCGCCTTCGGCCGCGACCGTGAAGACGGCGTCTGCCGCGCCCCATGTCGTCACGCAGCGGTTTGGTCAGCTGTTGCACGGGGTGTTGGCGCTGAGTGCGGATGTTGGCGGGGACGACGAGCCGGTCGTGGCGAGCCTGCGGCGGTTGCGGAATGAGGTTGAGGCGTTTCTGACTAAGGCCAGCCAGGCGTCCTTTGGAGCAGATAAGCGGAAGCGGGAGCGGTTCTTGTATAATAATTATAGCTTGGTTCTGACCATTATTAGCGATGTCAGTGGGAAGCTAGCGGATGAGGAGCAGGAGTATTTCGAGGCCTTGAAAACGAGCGTTCAGGAGGCTGGGTAGGTTGGAGTAGAGCCGATTCTGGGCGTTGGTATAATATGTCGCCGTCTTTTTGTCTTTGGCCGGCGGGTCTAGGAGTGGGATAGAATAAACAATAAATCATGTCGACGTGATACGGCGCCTTATTCATCCAGCCCAAAAACGTGATATTAAATGTAAACAATCCTGATTTTATAGTGTACACGACAACGACTGTCGTCACTTTGCCTTGGTGCAGCTCTACTATGTTATGACCGTTCTAGAAACACAATCTCGACACACACCACTACGCACCACCTCACCACATACTCCGACACCCACCCCAGCCCGGACACCACGGGGCCAGGCAACGGCCCCCGCCGCAACAGCACCGCCAGCACCCCGACCAGCACGGCAGCGCCAACCATCCCCGCCGGCCGGCGATGCTTCCACACCCACTTCCCCGCCCGCTCCCTCGTCTCCTGCCACCTCAGCTCCCTCACCTGCCGCTCAAACCACACCCGCCCCTGCTCCACCCGAACCAAGCCCGCGCCCTCCCCACACCTCCTCCCCGTCTTCAACACACTCCACCTCGAGACCCCCTTCCTCCACGCGGGCAACCGCTCCGGAGGGAACTCGGCCTGCAGCCGCACCGCCTGCGCAATCAAGCCCTCCAGGTCCAGCGGCACGGGTAGCTTGGACAGGATGCTATGCAGCATCTCGGGCTCGTCGGGCGGGGTGTCGAACAGCTCGGCGCGGCGGGCGCGCACGATGGCGGCGAACAGGTAGACGCTGAAGGCCGGGTCGGGCGCCGCCAACAGGGCGTCGAACAGCCGGGCGATCTCGCCCTGGGTGGTCACGTCGTGCGCGTACATGGTGAGCGTGCCGGAGAGCGCGAAGAAGGGCTCCGTGCCGGAGAGGTGGCGCCAGAGGGCTGGGTCGGCCAGGCGTAGGATGTCCGGGAGCAGGCGGAGTTGGGCGATGGCTGGGGCGAGGGAGGGGAGCATGAAATCGCGGATGTGGAAGAGCGAGAGGTGGGTGAGGCTGGGTTGGTGGAGGGGGGGTGGCAGGGTGAGGAGCAGGACTTGGGCGATGTCGTGGTAGCCTTGGAAGTAGCAGAGGTAGGGGTGGGTGCGGAGCACGGAGACGATGAGGGAGGAGAGGAGGGGTTTGGCGTGGGCGAGTTGGGCTTCGGTTTGGTCTGGGGGGTGGGCAAAGGTGGTGGTGTTAGTTTTGGTGTGCTTTCGTTTTAGTAGAAAGGGGGAGCAGGGAAGGGGCTCTGGGGCGAGGAATGTGAAAGGAACATACGCTCTGGGTAGTAGATGAAGGAGCGGTTTACGTCGAGCTGAACTTGGTCTTCATCTCTATGACGCGGGAGGGATTCCCATGCGGGAACCGAAGCCGTTCCATTGGGGCTAGATCCTGTTTTGGGGTTGTCGGAGGGGAGTCCCAGAAGTACCGGCCCTGTATAAGAGTTAGCCCAACTGTAAACCAGAATAACGATGGGTTTGAGAGCTGGCAATGCTACTCCGTGGGGGGCACTTACATGCCCGCTGACGGATACTATCGGCCAAGAAACCCCCCGGTGACTGTGCAAGCGCCCTCAGAGCGTCCAAGTCCCTTTGGCTGCACGCCTCGAGGATGGCCTTTTTCTTTTCATCGCTGGCATGAGTTGCATTTTTGTGATTGACAGCCTTCTCGTCGAGACTCAGCGGCTTGGTCGATTCCTCCATTTTCTATCCGAATAGCCGTGCTTGGTGCGATATTTGAGGTTTGCTATCTTTGGACGTTGGCAGATAGATACTGGTCTTAAGCATAAAATTACGGCATCTCAAAATCCGCAAATGTTTCCCTTCCGGGATGGATAGCGCTGTTGTACAGATGAATATTTTTGTCCTGTCTTTTCCTGCCGCGTGTCTCGATTCGCAGGCCCGCTTCAAGAGTTGGGCAAGGTGGATAATTTTGGAGACATGTAGAGGCAGATCCTGGCGTGTTCCTGGTGGGAAGACCGTGGTTTGTAAAAGGGAACGAGTTACCTAGTTAACTCGGGTTACCTCGTTATTGAGTTGTTCAATTCGGAAACGCGTGTCTGGCGGATCAAAGACGTGCATTGATGTAAGTTACATGTATCATTTCATGCTGTGATGTATCCTCATTCTTACGGATGGGTGCTTGGCTTCCAGTTCCACACTGGTTTGACAGGGATCTTGTTGACGAAATACAATGCAATCTATAACGAGAATCAGGAAGAAGGAAACAGCGAGGACCGGGTCAACCCGAAAGTACTGTGTCCATTTCCCCTTCTTTTGTTTTTAAGCCACCCTGAAGTGTTCGATGCCGGGACTACTTCGTTACTTCGTACGACGTACTTACGATCCTTCCACTTTCAGAAATGCCAAGAGTGCAGTCGTGTATACCGGCTCCCATGTGTTGCCCTGCTCAAACATGGAAAACACCCGAATCGTTGACTGGCCCCATTACTACAAGGCCATCGAGATTGAAACGGGGAAAAAAGCAATGGAAGGCGTCGAGAAGATTGGCAAGCTTTCCCGACTGCCCGACTCATGACTGCTGCTGCGACGGCCGACTGATGGAGCGTTAGTTAACGAGGTACCTTCGGTATGGAACGACCAGATTCGTAGGGCTGCCCCTTCCTCTGGTTTCACCTCACATGGAAGCGAAGCACAACAAAGCATCGAGGGTCAAAGTGGAAGTGGGATAAGCGGGAGAATTGTTTCTATTGTACACAAGGAAAGAGACGACTTGCACTCGAGGGAGCTGTAGTTAGGCACCTCAATACCTTGCGCTCTGGAACACCATCTCAGCTGCGTCCAAGATCCCCGCCACCGACGGGAGTGAAGTGGAAGACCCTCTGAGCAAAACAGTGGGTACTGTACAGTATGTACACACAAGCAATATACACAGTACTGCTCTCTTCATGCCATACTTCGCAGCCAAACCAAACCTAGATATTTGCTAAACAAGGTGCAATGCAATCCATTGCTATTATTATTCCTATTTCTACAATATCATATAGTTACCTTGTTTACTTCTCTGTGTACAACCTGTGCAAGTGCTGTGCGCGTGTGAGCGAGACTTGCAGATGTGTACAGTGCCGGCTTTTTTGTTTAGAGGTGCTCAGCCCGACGAACACCTAACCCACCTAGACACCTCAACCACCAGCTGGAACCCCCC